CAGGGGCTGAGAGGAGAGGAGGTAAGGCACAGGCCTTGCCTGCCCCCAGCCTGGGTACATTCAATCCCTGATACTACATGGTCCCCCAGCATGGCTAGGGGTAGCCATGGAGACCCCAGAAACCGCAGGGATGGCCAGAGTCCCTGGCAGCACAGAGCCCGAGCAGCAGCACACTCCTGGGCCCTTGTACACATCTGCAGCCCCGGTGGCTGAGAATCCACCGCTATCTCCAGAGCACCATTTGGGAAGCCCTCGCCCTCCAGATCATTATGATGGGGGAAGCGGCTCTGAGGGAGAGAACCAGCTTGCACCTCAGGCTCTGGGTTCAACTCCTGAAGCCTGAAGTGACTCTCCAGCACTGAGCCAGCCGGGAGTAGCCCTGGGATACCACCAGGGGAGCCCCACACAAGAAAATTATTTTGAAGTTTGATCCAAAAAATTAAATTGAACTTTGGTTTCTCAATCAGACTACACAGACCCCAGACATCCCAAAGGCCACGTGTGGCCAGGAGCTACCACATCAACTGGACAGGGCAGCACCCCGGAAGTTCCAGAGGGGCCTCAGTCTGATGCAGATGGTTGGCATCAGCCCTGAGGGCCACTCCAGTCCTGGGGGAGACGAGGGGGTGCAGGTTCCTGGGCACTGAAGCACCCGAAATGCGTAGAGCAAGAGCTCTCCCACCCATGCCCCACCTTCTCCCCAGGAACCTCAGACAGGCCTGCAGCCTTGGGCCTCCCCACTGTCCAGCCAGCAGAGGGGGTTACTTCTGGAGACAGAGGACACACACCACCATCAGTCAATGCTGAAACACTGAGAGCCCTGGGGGGGGCCCCAGGGAAGCAGTACTGATAGGGAAGAGGGAGAACGTCTGTGCGCACACACATGCACACACACACACATGCACACGAACATGCACACACACACACACACATGCATACACACACATACATGCATACACACATACACATACACACACTCTCTGTATTATCCTTAGGGAAAGATCAGGTACCCATCAGAAAGCCAGGAAGAGCTGAGATGAGCAGAGAACTCCCCACTCTACACACACACACACACACACACACACACACACACACAAGAGCTGGTCTCCAGGCCCGGAAGCAGCAGCCCTGGAGCAAACTATCATTTACAGTGAATTAAAATGGCCACACTTCCTGTATTTTGATCTTTTCCTCAAATACGAAAGACACACAAAAGCTACAATTGGCTGTTGCAGTATTGGGGTTGCCCGCTTGGTTTTGGTGCTTACATGCTTTACTAGTGGGGTGACAGGGGCTGAGATAGGGGAGTGTTGTCCCACTTGCTATGGCACCGGGGACCACACTCAGTGAGGTGAGACTGTGCAGGGACCACACTCAAGGCCTCGCACCTGCAAGCCTAGTGCAATCAGTGACCTACATCTCTTCGGGGGGGGGAGGGAGAGGGGGGAGAGGAAGGAGTCACAGCTGGTGGTGTTCAGGGACTCATCTCGGTGACAGAGATAGAATCTGGGGCTCCTCGTGTAAAGCACGTGCTCCAGCCCTTTAAATCATCTCTCCAGCCCTTAAATGTCTTTCTTTCCTTTCTGGAGGGGATGAGGAGTGGGGCGTGGTGCTCAGGACTTTTCTGCCCTTTTCAAGCTATCTTCATAGGTAAAACCTTTGGGCTTCTGAATAACTTCTAAGATTATTTATTTGTGGGAATTTTTTATTTTGGAATAGTTTTAGCTTTATAGAACGGTTGCAGAGCTAGGAAGAGCAGGCAGAGTTCCCAAATACACATCAGTCAGCTTCTTCTTTGCTGCCACGGCACATTCCAAGATACTTTTGATCCCCAGCACCACATAAGGACCCGGGAGCCTCGCCAGGAGTGATATTTGTACAGAATCAGGAGGACAACCTGAACACTGCCAGGTGTGGGCCCCCAAATAAGGAGGGATGAGGAAGGAGAGAAGAAGGGATAGGAGGAGAAGGAGGAGGAGGAAGAAGGAAGAAGAGGAAGAGAAGGAGGAGAATCCAGGGAAACTGAGTAGCCTGGAGGAAGGATCTGAGTTTCTTTGGGAAAAATGGAGTGACCCGTGACCAGTGGTTCCTTGGGGCTCTCACATCTTTCCCTCTGCCCCTTCCCTCTCCTTTGCTCTGCTGATGGGATGACGGGACTGTGGTGCTGTCCCCTAGCACACAGGAAATCCCACTATTTTATTTCTTGTATTTTTGGGGGGTTGTTTCTGGGTCATACCCAGAGGTTATTGCTGGCTCTGCCCTCAGGAATCAGTCCTGGTGGTGTTCGAGGACCATAAGGGATGCCGGGGATCGAACCTGGGTTGGCACATGCAAGCTAAATGCCCTCCTTGCTGTGCTATGTACTATGGCTCCAGCCCCAGAGAGTCCAAAACTCCTGAGAGAGGGAGACTCGGGCAGGAGGGAGACGCCCTGCCCCACAGTTCTGGGCCCCGTGGGAGCAGGACACAACCCTAGGCCCAGATTTCTCCTTGGGAGTGTGTCGGTGCTGGTGGTTGCCTAGGGGTGCTGGGGTCCCCCGAGGAGATCAAAGCTCCTCACACAGGACAGTTTCAAGAGGAGGGAGAGCTCCGGCTATCTGCACCTCCAAACAGAACTCCCGACACTCCTGTGGGCTGACAGTCCCATAGTGGAGGGACCAGGGTGGCGGGAGTATTCAAGGCTGGCCCCCGTGCACCCAGCCTTGCTGCAGGCAGCACTCCCAGCCCCTGCCGAACTTCCTGCCTCTCGGGCCCTGGGCAAAGGGACACAGCTAGGAAGGGAGAGCTTTGGGGTACCCATGAGAACTGTGGTCTCTGCAGTGTGATCAGCGTGCTCAGAGCTTCCTCCTGGCCCTGTACGTGGGGGGTCCATATGTGGTGCAGAGAACCAAGTCAGGGCTGACTGCGTGCAGGACACGCATCTTGACCCCTGTATTATCTCTTCAGCCACCAGCAGCCTTTCTGTGAGGATGAGAAAAGCTCAACACGAAAAGCTGTGCCCCACCCACTCAGAGCCAGACTCATCAGCCCCCAGGGAGAGCCACTGTGTCCTGCTGAGTCTCCTCCCTTCCTCTCTGTCATCGTATCATGGCCACAGTGGGGATTTTAAGGCTGACAAGCCAGAGCAGGTGTGCCTCTGTCTCCTGGAACCTGAATTCCAGCGGGCCAGTAGACAGATTCTCGACCACAAGCACAGGAGAGAAGTCAGGGCACACGGGGAAAGAAGGAGGGTCAGGCACGCTAGTTATTTATTTTTATCTTCTTTTGATTTTGTTTGTTTTGGGTCACATACAGCAATGATCAGGGGTCACTCCTGGCGGGGCATGGGGGACCATATGGGAGGGCGGGGAGCAAACCCAGGTTGGCTGTGTCCAACGCAAGTGCCCTGTTAGCTGTGCTATTGCTCCAGACCCTCCCCCCCCCTATTTTTTTCAGCTTTTTGGGTCACATCTGGCAATGCTTAGGGCTTACTCCTGGCTCTGCACTAAGGAATTACTCCTGGTGGTGCTTGGGGTACCAGATGGGATGCTGGAGATTGAACCCGGGTTGGCCACATGCAAGGCAAACGTCCTACCCGCTGTACTATCACTCCGAACCCAGCTTATAATATTTCAACATCAATCCCATCACTAGTGTCAACTTTCCTCCACCAGTGTCCCCATATTTCCTCCCCACCCCAGTCCCATCTGTCAACAACTTGACAGGCACATCACAAAATCCCAATGGCTACAGGTTAGCTCTCATGTTTTCAGTGTGTTGAGTCTGTGTTTTGGATGTATGGCGATACCCCTCACCCCGGTTACCAGTACAGCTAAAGCCCTGATGCCTGTTCCCCCATTCTTCCCATATCTCTCCTCCCCCTTGATTTCTTTCCTTCTCTGTCTCTCGCCTCTCTAAACACTGGGCTCAAGGGTGATATAGGCATGCCATGTGTGGCCCAAAAATCAAAACCTTTTTTTTAAATTTTAATACATAACCATATTCTATATTCGTATCAATATATAAAATATGTAAATTAACTTTTTGTTTGGAGACCACACCTGATAGTGCTCAGGGCTTACTCCTGGTTCTGTGCTCAGGGTTCAATCCTGATAAGGTTCAGTAATCATATGCGGTGACAGGGATCAAACCCAGGCTGTCTGCATGCAAGGCCCTTACTCACTGTATTATCTCTCCTTAGAAATTTACTCGAATAACATTTTATTACCCTAATTTGTCCTAAATGGTCTCATTTCAACAGACATTAAAATGGAAGATTATTCTGCTTTTCTGCTCCAAGCCTTCGGAATTCATACTTCGGAATTCATACCATATCTTCATACTTCTATCCTTGAAATTACAACAAATCTTAATTTGGATTTGCCATGCTACTCATACATCTTATGAAACAACACAGATCTAACTCCTTCGAAACTTTACAAGGCCTAATCATTAGAGAAATTAAAAAGGCTAGAATTGAAGAGTAAATCTTAAAGACCACAGATTTTTTTGGGGAGACCCACAACTGTGCATTGCCAGGGGTTGCCCCTGTCCCCCCCCACCAAAAAAAGAACAAAGGACAGAACGCAGCACCATGACTGCAAGAGAAAATCCCTATTTCCTGTTCCCCGAGCTGAGGAGCTATATGATCTGCAACACGTTAGTCCACCATGAGGAAACGAATATAATCTGTTCACAGGCTTTCCCAATAATTCAATGGCACTATCTGCACACAGCATTCAATATGAGCATGTATCCAGGATTCTGGCCCCTGGCATTCGAGGAAGCTGTGACTGGTTGCTGTGCTCAGGATGCCTGGCCGTCGGGCTTCTAAGGCCATGGAACCAGAGCAGCACCTGGGCCCCTCCCTGCCACTGCTGTCCCGTAGGCCCCATGTCAGATCAGGTTACTCAGAGGGCACCATCCTCTTGCTCTCGGCCATGGCGGAGCTCGCCCTGGGATTTGTGTGTGGTGCCTTTACTGCTCTACCCCCCACATCTACTGGCCCGAGCCCCCACATACCTGCACCACCTCTGGCCTCACGTTGAAGGTGTAGAGCCAGTCGCTGAAGCGAGGGTAGCTGTTGAGTTCTGGGGTCCTCTCGCTGGGAGCCACGCTCAGCTTGCACTGCCGCTGCTTGCAGATGTAACGGACCAGCTTGGCCTGCGGAGAGACCAGCAAAGAGAAGGCCATGGTCACTGGGGGCATGGGCACCGGATAGCGCGCTGGGGCATGTGCACACACAGTGGGGCAGGGGCAGGCCATGGGGGAGGGAGGAGATGAGGAGTGGAGATGGAGCTGGCAGAGGCTTCAGGGATCCTGAGAACTGCTCCCCGACCCCAGCTGGGCATGAGCTCACCCACAGACCACGACTCTGGGAGAGGAGTGAAAACAAGGGGACAGAGTGAAACACAAGAAGGGTGGGGGTGATTGACAATTCAGAAGACTTGAGGGTTGGGAGAGGATGAGTAACCTGACCTAATATGCTTCCAGCCAAAAATCAGCCAGGGCTGGGATCTGAGAGTGCAGGCACGCCCTAGGAGTACTATGATTGTGGATAAGTTATTAACACACACACACACACACACACACACACACACACACACACACACGGCTCAGTTCATTCATCCAAATTGGGATGAAAACAGAACTTCTCTCTTACAAAGACTGAGCAAGATGAAGGGTTCAATCCATCTCTGACTCATAATAGACACAGTAATTGGCCAGAATGAGGCTGGGGCGGGGGGGGGGGGGGGTGGCCTTTGGCCACACTGGGAAGGAGCTAAGACTTGGATCTGCACCCTAAAACATGCAGTTTTTCATGGGGCTGGAGAGATGGGGAGCAGGCAGGGCATTTGCCTTGCACACACAGCCAACCAGGGTTCAATCCCCAGTCTCCCATGTGGTCCCTGGTGCTCCACTAGGAATAATCTCTGAATGCAGAGCCAGGAGTAAGCCCTGAGTATCACACCAGTGAGACCCCAAAACAAACAAAACAAAATGACAACTACAAAACACATGCAGATTTCAGGGAAGTCAGATAGCTTGAGCATTTTCTAGGGGGAAATGTGTCCACTTTTCAGAAAGCTAACCTTTTCTGGGCCAAAGATCCTTCAGTGGGTTGCCATGCTGACCTGGGTTTGATTCCCAGCACTCCCTGTGGTCCCCTGAGCTCACAAGGAGTGATCCCTGAGCACAGAGCCAGGAGTAAACATTGAGTAAACCACTGGGTGAGGCCCAAAACAAACAAAAGGCTACCACCAAACAATCTGGTTTGTGTGGACTCTGGTTCTCTGACAAACGCTGGGTCTGGCTGGGTATTCCACACCTTACTAGGAGCAAGATGTATAGGGAGGACAGAGCCCGGGCTGGTGGAGAAGGTGAGACAGGCAGAGCACACGGAAGCAAGTGCAGAACTTGAAGGGAAGGATTTCCACTGAGATCAAAGGACCCGGGGGCCCAGGGAGAACATTGAGAGAGAACAGACGGGTGGCCTCTGATGGGGACTCTCTGACCTCTCCCAAAGCCTAGCATCAACCTCAAAGGCCAGTGCAGGAACCAGCCACCTCTCCGCCAGGCAGCCCTAGCCAATTTGGTGGCAATCCCTCCCTTTCTCTATCACCTGATATGCTATGAATCTTAGCAGGCTCCTGAGTGAGTGGTTAGGACTCTTGTTAGCACAGTCAGAGGATGAAAAATGGATGAATAATAAGCTTCATTTCCAGCATCTAGGAAGACTCCCAATTTCCAGTTAGAACCAGAGAGCTTAATCATTTTGGACCACAGACCTCTTTGGCAATCTGGGAGATTTATGATCTCTTCCTAAGAAAAATGTTTTTGAAAGCATAAAATGAGAGGCTGGAGAGATAGTAAGGGGGGAGAGGTAGGCACTTCTTTTGCATGTGGCCAACCCCAGGTCCTTTCCTGGCACTGCCTAGGTCGCCCAAGTGTCCCCAAGGCGTGATGCCTGAGCACAGAGCCATGAGTAGGTCCTGAGCATCACTGGTGTGGTCCAAAAACAAAGAGCACAAAGGCTGGAGGGTATGCTCTGCATGGAGGTGGCTTGGGCTGAACCCCACCATTGTATGCCCCCCTAGCACTACTAGGAATGACCTCCAGGCCCCAAACTGGGGATAGTTCCTGAGCACTGCCCAATGTGGCCCAAAGAACAAAACAAAAGTATATAAGAAAATGTTTAGGATTGCCATGGAAAACAATTATACCTAAATATATTTATCAAAATATCAAATCATGGAAAGTATCAAAAGCATCCCTATTCAAGCATGGAGCCTAAAAACTGCCCAGACTTTGAAGTTAAGACAAGTACGTAAACCACATTTTCAGCAGTTTGGAAGGTGAATCTGAAAATGTGGGATCTTGTTAAGACCAAGCTGCATGTATTTGCTACAATGATGGTGCCGTATTGCCTACATCCAAACTGAACCACATGCTAAGCTAAACTGCAGTTAGGTTCATGAAAATGAAGGGTATCACGTTACCCCCCAGGTCTTAGGATGCCTGATTTCTATCCACAGATCCCAGGGAGAGAAGCCTTATGGTGGAGGTAAGAGTGGAATGAAAGAAGATCCAAACTGACACCAAAACCAAGTTTCTAACAGACCAGCCTTTCTCATTGTTCACAATCGGCTGGACTATGAGACTCGCTAGGTCCTGTATCTTTACTGGCAGGGGAGGGGGCACTACAGCCAAGGCAGATCGGGCCAACTGCTGGAGAAGAAACAGTTCCATTCAATTATAGGGCTTTGATATTTGGGGAAATGCCATGGACAGAGGCCAGGCCATGGTATTCCACCGCATGCCCATGAGGCTTCCAGGACAGAAATTATTAATCAAACACCGCTGAGGCTTCACAGAACTTGAGAATCGATCCTTCTCTACTTTAAGGACCCCAGGACCTATATGGAACCAAAGCCCCAGGGATATTTTCCAAGCACCAATCTGCACTGAAGACGGGAATATTGCTTCATCCTACAGGGCTAAGTAGGGGCATTCACATCCCAACTCTACCCACCGCTCCCAGGGGAACCAGAAGGCAACTTCCCAAACCAGAGCCCCAATCTCTTTCCCAGGCTCCTTTCCACTCCACTCCCGTCTCCGGGAACTCTCAATCCCTAGCCTTCCCCCCACATTCTGCCTGTACTTCCAACCCCTGGGCCTCAGCTCCAACAATCCACTGGGCCCAGAGTCCCTCCCTTCTCCAGGCCCTTGGTCAAATCTTCCATGTTTGATCAGAACACCCCACACCCATTTCCAAGAGTGCTATCTGTGCCTCCTTGGCAGTCTCTGTCACCACGGGGCCCATCTTGGGCTTTTGGACCAGTTAGCACACACCGCTCAACACACACACACACACACACACACACACACACACACACACGACTTAGCTACGGGGAGGAACAGAATCTGGGTTCCAATCTCAGCTCAGCTGCTGACCAGCTGTGTAGCCTCTGGGATGTGAAGGCCTTTTTCTGCATGTTGTTGCTCTCACATGTATAACAGGAAGGCAGAGAGAGGGGCACGTGGGCTGCAAGCAGGACTATGCTGTATAACCTATAGTATGCTGTATAACCAGACCCTGGGCTGCCCCCCCCCCCCCGACCCTTCACAACTGTACGACATGGTAGAGTGAGCCACCTCGGGTATGACTGCCCACACACAGCACAGAAATGTGGGCCTAATGCTCACACTAGAACATTCTTCACTGCCCAATCCTTCCCTCTACTCCAAACTGCCTGAACCACAGCAAGGACAGGATGAGAAATTGGACACCGTCCATCAAAGCCATTCTCCATGTTAGCCATAGTGTTCAGGCTGCTGCAGCGTGGAGAGATGGGGAGAGGATAGGGGAGGGGGAGAGATGGAGGTGCAGAGGGCCCACCCCCAGCTGCTGCATCTTACTCATTCCACGAGGCCTCAGGCCCACGCAGGCCCACGTGGAGGTCGGCCAACCTGGCCTTGGCAATGAGCCAGTGTTGGTGACTTTCTGAGAGTCAAGCCCACCGAGGTGCCTCAACTCCAGGAAAAGCCAGCAAGCACAGATGTCAGCACCACCACCACAAGAGTCCAAACCTCAGGGAGCACCACAGCTAATGCGGCAAACGCCTGGGCAGGGGAGCTACCTTAAAGGGCTAGAGAGTGTGTCTGCCACACACAGGGCCCCCGGTTCAACCCCCAGCACTGCTGGGGAGGTTCCCCCACGGAAATCAAGCAACCAAATCGAACAAAAAAGAAAGCTGGAGAGATACAGATAAGTGGGCAAGGCACTGTCCTACATGCACTCAATTCAGACTGGATGTCCAGCATCCCACTTGGCCCCCCAAGCCAGTCAGGAGTGACCCCTGAGCTCAGAGCCAGGAGTAAGCCCTGAGCACAGCCATGTGTAGCCCCCAAACCCAAAACAAACAAACCAAGAAAAGAAATCAAGCCACCAACCTAAACAAACAACAAAAAAATGTGCAAAAGCCAGCCATGTGTGCAAACCCAGTCATCACAACAATCAAGGGAAGGACAAAAGGGAAGAGTTAATGAATCGATTAATAAAACACAAGCTGTGAGAGCGCCTCTTCCCCAATTCCAAAGCAGGACGGTACAGAACCTGCAAAAACAATCCCCAGTCTGGCTGACTGCAGAGGCAGGGACGGAGCGCAGACACAGTGCGCCATGCCATCTGCCAGCAGGTCTGGGCTGTCCTGGAGGCCATAAAGAAGAAATGACACCTGCAGACGAGGAACCCCCACCCCCACAAGGGGCCAGGCTGGCCTCATAGCGCAGAGCAGGTGGCAGCAGCTTCTACCTGAGCGAAACGAGGCCACCCTCCCTCTGAGCTGGCAGCCATCTGGGCATCCCCTGGGGCTGCTTTCCCACATCAACCACAGGGATGGCCAGCCCAGCCTCAAGGGCCTATTAGGGGCCTTCACAGGGACCGGCAGAGTCTCCTAACCACGAAACCACAAGATGGGAATTTCCTGGACTAGAAGAGCCTATGGGGTTTTGGTGACGGGTCAGCAGCAAGATTTGCCCACACTCTGGCCGCAGGCGAGGCTGGCTGGGACTCGAGTCTCACCAGCCCCTAGGACGCCTTTGCTCCTGGCGAGTGTGTGCACCAGGGGCCCTGCTTCCTGCTCAGAGCAGAACACCAACGG